TTTTTTTTCTCTGTATCTATGAAGCGCCTTGAGGCGACTTATGTTGTGATTTGGCGCTATATAAATAAAATTGAATTGAATTGAATTGAATGCATTTATGTAATAACGTGGTTAGCCTACTCAGCGTAAATTACACACGAACAACATTAAGCTACTCACGCAGAGAAGAACGGCTGCTGCATCATCATCCTCATCATTTCTGCTACACTGGCAGGGCTACGGCTACACCCGCAGTAGATGTGCTCGGTGTGAGGTCTCGCAGCAAGCTATCAAATAGGGTGGATTTCTCGGCTTTTAAAAAAAAACGCTATGCGTCGCCAGGTGTTTCATCACATTCGAGGTGTTACCTCCTTTGTACAGTATCACAGTATCAGCTTAAAGCACTTGTTGCTGCTGAGTTTGCATCTTTTGCTGTGAAGTACAGCCAGACTTTGACCGCTTCGCCTTGGGCATTTTTAATCTGTAGCTCTGCTCTAAAAAAGCGTACGTACCTGGGCCCGCCCACTACGCTTACAAAGGTAAAATGATTGGCTAGAATCCAAAGTGTATCACGTCTCAGGGGGAAAAAAAGCACCAAAATAAAGCACTGAAATTGCGCTGCTTTTCGGTCTGGTTACTACCATTTATGTCAGAACCGGTGTGATACCGGTACCCATCCCTAATCATTATTGGCCTTTAACTGGAGTGCAACATTTAGTATCACCTAATTGATACTTTATTGCGATGGATTGAGACAAACCCTTGAATGGGACCGATATTACCCGCTGTCTCCTCAGAGTATAGAGGATAAATACTGAACTAATGCTGGTTGAAATTGAACCAAAAGCACGTTTCCTCTTCCAGGCACTCAGAGAGGGGAAACGCTGTGTAACCGCCCACTGGCTCAACACTGTGCTGAAGAAGAAGAGGATGGTTCCTCCTCACCGGACGTTACATGTGCCATTTGCCTTCCCTCCTGGAGCCAAACCCTGTTCTCAGCATGTACGTCTGCCGTTTCTTTTAACAGTAGTTTTTCTACAGTCTTTGTACTTGGTGAACTTAATGAACTTCAAAATACTGCACTCCAATTGGCAGGAAGCATTTCTGCTTGTTAGATCTTTACTCCAGCTCTCTGTTGCCGTCTTTCCTCAGATCATATCAGTGACGGGTTTTATGGATGCTGACAGAGATGATCTAAAACTGATGGCCTACCTGGCTGGTGCCAGATACACCGGATATCTTTGTCGCAGTAACACTGTCCTCATTTGCAAAGAGTAAGAGTTGGGGTCGGGTAGATGAGTTCCTCTTTGGGTATTCTTTTGTACTGCACGCAGTATATCCATAGAACTCAAACTATACAAGAACTATCTTACTTTTGGTTTTATGTCGTTCTTGGAGTGTACTCCTCCTCATTTGTATCTGTGAAGGACTCAGCCTATCTTCAAGCTTCTCTTTATCCTAAGTGTTAACCTTTTTTAGTCAGATCAGATGCTTTGTTTTGTTAATCCAGCATTTTCACTCTTTTATTTCCCAACTTTGTTGCAACTTGTTTGAAATGTCTCATTTTCTTTTAAACATTTTTCAGTTGAACCTTCTTGTGTGAAGGTTGAACGTTCAGTTTGCTTGAGAACCTTCACTTCTCAAGCACACTGTCAGTTTTATGGTTGTCTTGCTAATATCACTTTAGACCCAGTGGGCTTAAATATGAGAAGGCCAAGGAGTGGAAGATCCCTTGTGTGAATGCCCAGTGGCTGTGTGATATACTGCTGGGCAACTTTGAAGCACTGAGACAAATCCAGCACAGCCGATACTCCATCTACACACATCCTGAACCACTGGTGCCTAACCCACAGCTGGTCCAGAACCTGCTTGGTATGTACGCCGTCACTGGAGTTGTTACGTAGTGAGCAATTACATGAAGATATTACCCAATATCTCTTACTTGCCACACACTCTCTCCTGTGGGGTATGCTTAGTTAGTCTAACCTGACTGGAGCCACACAGCTCTGGTTTTGTGTGGCTTGATTTTGGTTCGTCAGGAGAGTGAAGAGCTTTTGATGTTTTATCACTTGGAATGGCCACACTTTAAGATACTGTCCTGATTACCTTGTGCATTTCTCTGTAGCCGCTTGGAGAACACCAATCAAAGTCTCTTCTGAAGCTTTGGCGGTGAGTTTTTGTGTCACAGTGTTCTTCACATTCTTTTGTTTGGAATGTCGAGAAGCTCCGTAACCCCTCTCTCAGCCTGCTCTGAATCCTCTGCTCCAGACAGTTTTCCGACTCTTGGATTGACATAACGTCACACATTTCTAGCTTTAACCACAACACCTCACACACCTCTTCAGTTGTTGGGGGCAGTTATTCACAGGAAATTATCTGTGTGAGAGTGATTTGTTTTTTAGTGCGTTTGTCCTTAAAAAGTTGAATCAGTCATAGAAGAGAGAGAAGCAACAGAGGAACAGTGTACCGGCTCGTCTGATTGTGCTTTTGTGGCGTCTGTTTGGTGTTTAGAGCCTCCAGCTGCTGCAGAAGCAGAAGATGAGCGACTCAGCAAACCCACCTGCAAACAAGAAGGCCAGGTCAGTATAGCAGGTTAGGGACTAGCCTGTCACTCCTCTGCACGAGAACAGAGTTGGACCACACACCCTCCAGACTGTCATGTTCTAATGATACTTTGCATTTCTGTCTCTGAAGACTGGAAGAGATCCAGTCCCCGAGTAAGAAGCTTCCTCCAGAGTCCACTCCTCGGGTCATGTTCACAGGCTTTGAGCCTATGCAAGTACAGCAGTACACCAAGGTGAAAGCAGCCTTCCCACGCTCAAACATTCAGTGTGTTGTTAGACTGAAGCTCAGATTAGTGAGAACGCTGAAGTTACTCTCAAAGCACATCTGCAGCCTCAGCTGCTATTTGAATGTGTCCCCTTTCCTCCTGCAGAGGTTACATGCTTTAGGTGGTGAGCTTGCAGACAGCAGTCAGAAAGTCACTCACCTTGTGGCCAGTAAGGTGACTCGCACCGTCAAGTTCCTCACTGCCATGTCGGTGGTCAAACACATAGTCACCCCAGAGTGGCTGGAGGAAAGCTGGAGGAGTCAGAAGTTTGTGGGTATGTTTGCGTCCCACCCCTCCTTTTTCTTATCTAACTGTGTTTTGTAGAGATTAAAGTGGAACTGAAATTGGTCTTGTGCTGCGCTTTTATCTGTATATGTTTCGTTAACGGGAGCAAACCTGTTGTGTGTGTTACAGACGAGCAGAGTTGCACTCTGAGGGACGCAGAAGCGGAGGTGTTGTTTGGCTTCAGCCTGGAGGAGTCGCTAAAGAGAGCCCAAAGTGCACCTCTCTTTAAGGTCCTCTGACAACATAACTGCTGTGTTCAACCAAAAACCGTCTTTTTCTTGATGCCAGTTAAAGAATTCAGAAGTAGGGCTGTGCCATGTGACCAAAATCATATCCTGATAACAATATATGTTCTGGGAACCCGACTTGTGTGAAGTATTTTCAGCTGGGCGTCCTGTACCTGGAGTCAAGTGTTTTGACCGATGCATGAAACTATATTTTTAGATATAAGTTGTAACGGCCGCTGTTTTCTTTGTATTTATTACACGCCGCGCTGCGGGGAAAAGCGTTTGAGTCTAAGGTTTATTTTGAGCACCTGACGGCTTTTTTTTTTTTTTATTGCTTCTCAGCTCTCTCCATCCTCTTTCACGTGATTCTTGCATTAGGCAAGGCAAGTTTATTTGTATAGCACAATTCAACAACAAGGTGATTCAAAGTGCTTTACAGAGACATTAGAAACAAGAACAAATAAAAAGCATGATTTA